CAATCGTCGGCCATCCTTGAATAATCCCATCTCCCTCGTCACATATATCGCCCCGACTCTCTCACGACCGATCTTCAAGTCTCGTGGGATTTTAAGCCGTTCTACTAGCAGTCGTGCCCTACCCTTCTTTTTTCGCCGCTTCTTCGTCAGAGAACCACCATGCAAATCCGACCCAACCATTCTCGGACTCTTGCTTTTCTTTTTGGATATTCAATTTCTTCTTCATCCCCCTTTTCAAACTTCTGTGGTCGGTGTTCCCTTCTTCTTCTCTTCCTTAGCTTCTTCATATTCGGTTGAGGGTAATTTTTCTCCTCTCTTCTCGATGAACCGCTGCACGACAACACTTTCCTCCGCGGTTGAATTTCCATCGCACTCCAGTCCACATTCTCGAGTCTGATCGCCGGCTTCCAGCAATCCTTCGTCCCTGCTTCCGAATGCTCTTCCCCGTTGCCTCTTCCTTCCTTGATCTCTCTTCTTCCTCTCTAACAGTAAATCCCTTTTGCATTTCTTTCGTTATTCGAATCATTTCATTTGAACGGTTCGTCATTTCTCTCAACAATTCCTGCAACTCCGTTCCTATCAATAATTTCCATATCCTCGTAACTGTCTCAAATGAAAGATTCAGATTCATGGCCAGGACGAACTTGCTCTGATACCAATTTGTTAGTTATCTGAAGACAAAAACCTAACAAGAACCGATAGCCTTTCGAGAGGGCTATCTCTCCCCCAAGAACTCTCTCAAGTTCCTCACCAAAATACTATTATCCAAGATAATCTTCTCCTCTCCCTACTACCCTTATTTATAACTCACCCTAACTAATTACCATACTACCCATTCATACTAACAAACTAATATTCCTAATAGAACTCTCACAAGTTCTTCACCATAAATGGCTGCAATGACCTTCCTCCAAAGACTATTTTTTTCAGTGGCAAAGCGCCACAACCATTTCATGAGGAGGGCCGTATTTCTCTTATCAAGGGAACCAACTCCTAGACCTCCCTGTTGGATAGGTAAGGCAGTCCAAGACCACTTAACTAGGTTCCAATAGGCCTATGATTACCACCATTCCATATAAGGGAAGGACAGGCAGTCCAAAACATTATGATTCTTATCTTCTAAAATTCACTTAATCGAGGATAACTTCCACATAATCCATCCAGAAACCCTCCCAATTACCCTCAACATTGACAGCCCACCACGAAGGGAAGGACAACTTAATGGAATGATAGAAAAGCCACATATCTTACATATATCCAAATCTAGAAGGACAAGGACCCCACAAAGTGGACCCATACTCAAACAAATAGGCCAATGATTGAGGGTGACTATGACCTACGGACCATCTAACCTCTTTATCCATCGTCCTGACAACAAAAACAAGTCTAATCTATGGCACACAAACCTCACTCCCTCTTACAAGCCAAGGACACCCCAAGAACCTCCAAGAACCAGCCCCAAATAGACTGAGCAAACTAGAAGCTTCACATGATATGTCAAGGTCCTCAGAAACACTTTTGCAAAGGACACACCCCTGGGGAGCCAACAAAAAGGAGGAACATCTCTCAATATGGTCCATGGTATTAATTTCCCTACGTAAAACCTATCAGGCAAAGAACTTAGTCTTCTTCGAAACTTTTACCTTCCAGAGCGAGGCAAACAACAAGGCATGATGGGGAATCGATGGGGCACTCGAAAGTAAAGAAAGAACTTTACGTGTGGTTACCCAACCACGGTTTGGGGGACAAAAAATGAAGGTCCTTTTTCCTCAAATCAAATGAACCTCATTAGAGACACGAGTAAACCAGTAACCTCCAATGATTCCCTATTCATCAAAGACCGACAGAGACCGAGGGAGAAGAGGAGGTCAAAAGGAGGGCAAAAAACCAAACTCTTTGAATTGTGGCCTAAAGGAAGCCTTAGGTAAGTCGGCAAAAAAATCTTGAACCTCACACCCTACCAGGGCAGCCTGAGAGGAAAGTTATAACGCTCGCAATTAATCCCTAGCAAAAAACTCTTCCCTCTATTAATCTTAAGACCCAAAATCACTTTCAAAAATGAAAGCAAACGGTTCATATTGATAAAGGAGCTTTACTTTTCGAAAGAAAAGAAGAGAATATCATCCACAAACTAATTATGCAACAAACAAGTTCTCTCCCTCCCCATTAAGAAACTTTCTAATCCTCCCTTTTCCACACCTGTTGAGGCTAGCTTGTTGAGCGCATCCACAACTAGAATGAAAAGAAAGGGGGACAATAGATCCCCTTGCCTCAGACCCCTCAACGCCTGAAATCTACCACTCTTGTTCACAAGGATAGAGAAATTAACATTTCTAACAACACAACTCCAAATCCACACTCTCCACTTATACTCAAAGCCCTTCTAGGCTATTCATATATATTTAAGAGAAATCAATCAAGGTCATTTCACACGTATGAAATTTTATAACACAGACACATGTCATGCACGTAAAAGTTTTCTAGTATGACATAAAAAAATCAATCTAGGCCATTGACATGTATGAAGTTTTAGAACACATCACACATGTCGTGTAAAACTTGACACAAAATACAAGTTCATGTGGCTGCCATGAAAGATTTCTCTTAAATTCACGACAAAACATTAACAAGGACCAAAACAAATTTTTATGCAAAATTAAAGGACTTCATATTGATATTTTAAAATACAAGGGACCAAATCAAAATAAAGTGTGAAAATTCAGTGACCAAAGTGAGATTCAAACCTACTTTTTATTACTTGAACTCACACATCAAAGCTTCCAGATCTTGTTCACTTCATTTGGTTTGTATATGGTTGTTTAGAAACTGTTTTCAAAATATTTAAAAAATAAATAAATAAAAACAAATTATAAAAATGTGTTTGGGTAACTTTATAACAAATATTTTCTCTTGATTTCTTTTAATGTATTCTCATAAATGACCTATTTTTCAGGGGAAAAATGGCCATTCCAAAATCACAAATAAATAGTGATTTTAATGTGCATAGTAGTTCAGTTTCAACTTTCAAAAACAGTTCTGGAAACAAAATCATAAAATAATTTCAAAAACAAAATTCCAAACAGTTATATTCTTGATTCAAATTTTCATAGACTTTGGTCTTAGAAAGATCTTTATAGAGATTTTCTGTAAAAGAGACAACGATAGTGTCCTTTCTCCATAGCAGTGTTCCTATAGCCTCGTATTTTTCACAACGGATGAAGTACAAACGTTCAGTATTTTTGTTGGGGTGTTATTGCCTAGTGGAGGTTAGGCTTTCAAATGAATCAAGGCATTTTTGCAGCATGAAGTTTCAGCTCTCCCTTGAGTTACTTAACTAGTAAGGAATAAGCACAATTTTGAAAACAAATAAGATGAATGACAAGTTGTAAGGGTAGGGTGCTTTTCGACACATTTTAATGGGCAGAGAACAAAATGTTACCAGATCTCTGGATTAAATTAGCTTACCTTCTTCCATGTATACAAGTTGGGTTTTTTCCATGTAATTTTCGTTTCTTATGTTAGTTCTAAGAGAATCTCTCATGCGATATCCTTGTATATAATTTTCTCATTAAATTTTGGTTTTCCATAAAGAGAAAAAGTGCTCAAACATCAAACGAATGAAGACAAAACTTATTTCAACTGACCTTCAAGGAAAGCGACTTCTTTACTTCTTCCACCCTATCCTTGTATAATATTTTCTCAATAAATTTTGGTTTTCTATTAAAAGAAGTGCTCAACCATCAAAAAGCCAAGACAAACTTATTTCAACTGACCTTCAAGGAAAGTGACTTCTTTACTTCTTCCACCCTATCTTCGACATCCTTTCGGTGCTTCTTGTCTAATTCACTCATATTATCGGCCCATTTTATCTTCTCTTGAATTGAGACCAATAAATTGTCCGATGTAGTCAACCTAGATACACACAGGAAATATCACATTTCAAATGGATTTGTTGCCCAAACCAAATAGAGAAGGCATAGGAAGGGTGACAAAGTCAACTCATTTTCAATAAAGAAATTTGAGAAATGATTTCAATAAAAAAGACATACAACTAGGAAAATACAAATATTCTTTTTAAACAAACAATGTCAAATGAAGTTTCAAACAATAATAAGACCTGGAGACTTGAGCTTGCAAAAAAACCAGTATCTCAACAATAAGTTTAAACTTGTTTCATAGTTCCTTGAATACACAAAATTACTTTTTTTTTAATAACCGGGAGCCAGAGCTGCAGAAAATAACTTCTTAAGAAAGTGCTTCCCTTAAATTCTTAAGCAAGTGCTTCCCTTAAAGGAGGCCTCCAATGAAACTTGAACAAGCAAATTTACCAGTTCGATAGTGTTTGTATCATGCTCCCAAGTTGCCCAGGTCTCAGGTCTCTCCCTGCAGCAAATTGGACCTGCATGTTCACATTAGGACTTCAATGGACCCAATTTATAAATCCAATATTGTGAAGAGGGCTACAACAACAAACACAGACCTCAAAGCACCTTCGCAGCTGATCCAACTTTCCTCTGACTATACCCTGAAAGCAAATAAGAAACCTTTGAGGGAAAATACACCCCTTGCCCATGATATTTCAAGGGCAATGTTTATCCTCCCAGAAAAATAAGCAAGCAAATCAATAAATAAATCTTAAAATATTTAGCAAGCCACAAAAAACCCTTTTCAGAAGTCTAAACTCCAAGGATGAGGAGTGCCCCAATCAAAAGATACCAGGTGTAAAGAGCCACTGAGCCTGAATTGGACTTTTCAGCATTTAAATTTCCCAGTAAGGCCTCCAAATTTTTAACAAATGGCATCATGACAATGTAAGGTACCCACCAGCACTAATTGTGGGATACGACCACTAAATACTTGTTATTTCCATAGAACGGCTAGGCTTCAAGAGGAGTAAAAGTATGATCAATTCACTTGCTCTTGATGGTGGCATGCTATTATTCTAAGATAACACCTCAATTATTTAAAAATATAATAATAATTGTGCAACTTGTACGCTTAAAAATGAGCTCAATTAGTGGATTGCAAGTTTATAGTTGCCTGTAACCTATTTAGGCCTTCCATTGGAACACAACCATAGGGTTTGCTCCCCTTGGAATCCAATGTTTGAAAAATGTCAATTGAAAAAATTCTTTTTCTCTAGGGGAGATGGTTAGCCAGTGTTAATCTCATCTATCCCTATAAATTTTCTTTCATTGTTCAAGATTCTAAATACTTAATTTGCTCCAAGAAAGAGTATATAATAAGAAGCAAATCCTAGATTTTGAATTATGCTTATATATAGTCACTGCAATTAATACCAATTGATGGCATGTTAACGTGGCACCCCGTAAGAAAAAGTTTGGATGTGGCAGCATGATTTACAAGCCAACAGGATGTGGATTCCACAAACTAATAATTACACATCGTCCCTAATTCAACCTGCCCAACCCAACTACTCATCTCAAATCTAATTCAGCCCTAACTGTTGAATTATATTGTTATTTTTAATTTCCTATTGTATTTAAGTTTTAATAGGTTAGGTTTCCTTGTTCTAATAGGTAAGTTACTTACCCTAATAGGCTTCTTTTCTTCTTTGGAGCTCTTATTTATAGTCTGGTATCAATTCTTTGGAGGTAAGTAAGAATTATTTTCTTTTCCTATTAATTAACATGATATCAGAGCCTAGAGGCTTTTACGACTGACTTTCATACCCAATCAATTTCTTGTTTGATAACCTTATTTTTATTTTCTTAAATTGGCCTTTATTGTTCGTACTTGAGAGATAGCATCTTAGTGAGATCAGTTCATACCTCCATCACTACTGAAGTTTTAGTTTGTGTCTTCATTCCATTCGTGCGTATCAGTACATCAACTCTCTAATTAATGAAGTTTTTTTTCTGGGCATTGGTGACCTAAATCAACGGCTATTGAAACAAGTTCATCGATGTTGTCAGTTCTTGGACTTATTGTTCATTTGATTAGTCACTGCCTTCTCAGGCCCATCGTTCAGATTGGCCACCATCAAGCTCATGCCGCACCATCGAGTTCACCACCGTCGCATCTGTGTTGTTGCACTGTCGTTGAAGCCGTCGAGTTTGTGGGCTCTCTGCTGTCGCGCCCATCATTCGTGGGTTCTCTGTTGAAGCCGTCGAGACGAGTTCCTGGGTTCTATCTTGCCGCCACTGTTCAAGACTCTGGCAACACTTTCAGAAGTCGTCGATCCTTCACCACGTTGTGATTCACCGCCGATTGCTCCATCGTCGGGATCGCGTGACGCTGCAGCTGTCCGTGTTCAATGTTTTTGGGTGTGCGACATGGTTTGCAGTTCAAAGCCCTAATTTTCATGGATTTCAAACATAAGTGTTGGTCTGGTTTAGATCTGGTTAGGTTTGATTTGGTTCGCATTTTCTTCGGTTCAATACAACTTGGTTTACTTCGGTCCGGTTCAACATCAGTTTCAGGTCTGGTTCAACATAATTCAATTTGGTTCATCCGGTTTATATTGGTTCAACCCGGTTCAGCTTTATTGCAGTTTGGTTCAGTGCATCCCGCCTCAGTTCAGACCGGTTTCAGTGCTGATTTTTCAGTTTTGTGCGTAGATTTCCATTTTTGCATTGTTGTTTAGTCTTGGTATCAATGTCACAATCGTCCAAAATTACAAAAAAATTTGACATACATGAGATCAAACAATTAAGGAGCTTCTTAAAAACTTTGGATAATGCTCCTAGTTAAGGTACAGGTTCGATAACTTTGACGAGTACAACTTCACCTGGATTATTGATTCTGGTGCAACAGACCATATGACAAATAGTAGCTGTCATTTTATCTCCTATAGTATTTGTCCGAGCAATAAGAAAATTTCTACAGCAGATGGTACCTTGGTAACCGTGGCTGGTCAAGGAGACATCAAGATAAATTCAAACATTACTTTAAAGAATGTGCTTCATATACCACGTTTAACGGTTAATTTGATCTCGGTAAAGATTTGATCAAAGATTTAGGCTGCAGAGTAATTTTTTCTGATTCTTGTATTTTACAGGACCAGTGCAATAGGAAGATTATTGGACTTGCTAATAAAAAAGATGACTTTATTATCTTAATGAACTTGTGGGTCAGACTAGTGTTCCAGTCTCCTTCACCTCACAAACTCATCATCCTTCAAGTAAACTTTTGTTGAACCATTATAGACTAGGACATCCTTCATTTCGAACTCTTAAAATATTGTTTCCCGATTTATTCCAAAATCTTAATCCTGAGTCAATTCAATGTGAAGTTTGTGAATTCGCTAAACACAAGCGTGTACCCTTCCCTAGTAATAATAAATGAATAGTAGTTCCTTTCTCTCTTATTCATACTGATGTTTGGGTCCCTCCAATGTTCCAAATGTTTCCAAAGTTCACTGGTTTATTGTGTTCATTGATGACTGTACTCGAGTCTCATGGGTTTATCTTTTAAAACAAAAATCCGATGTTGGTTCTACCATTCAAAAATTCTTTCATATGATAGAAAACCAATTCGGAATCAAACCCAAATGATTCCGCTCTGACAATGCTCGAGATTACTTCAATCAAAATGTAATATCCTTCTTTCAAAAAAATGGAGTCATCCATGAGTCGTCTTGCATGGACACTCCTCAACAGAATGGAGTGGCCGAAAGAAAAATTGGTCACATCCTTTCTGTGACACGTGCCATTCTTTTTCAAAGAAATATTCCTAAATCCTTCTGGGGGGAAGCTGTGTTAACAGCCATTTATTTAATCAAACGATTACCATATGCTACTCTAGACCATAAAACTCCTATGAATATCCTATCAAAATATTATCCTGATTTTCGAACAACAAATAACTTGACTCCTCGAGTATTTGGTTGTGTAGCCTTTGTTCATGTTCACAGTCACCAGCGAGGTAAACTTGATCCACGAGCATTCAAGTGTATTTTTGTAGGATACTCGAACACTCAAAAGGGATATAAATGCTATCATCCTCCTTCGAAAAGGTTCTTCATCTATGCTGATGTTACCTTTTACGAAGACACCAGCTTCTTTACCTCACCTTATCTTCAGGGGGAGGAACTATTGTTGGAAGATAAGGATTTACCCATTCCTAACCTCACATTTCCTACATCAAATCCTTTACCACCACCCTTAGACACCTTACCAGGACCGTCTAACCCTTCTACTACTATACCATTACAGGTTTATTCAAGAAGAAACACTGAAAAAGATAAGCAAGTCCAAGAGTCCGAACATATCACTGGAATTGAAATTGACGAGAAAATAATCAGTGGTGAATCAGACATTATAGTATCTAATAATGATGAGTCAGACGTTACAATATCTGCTAATGATGAGTCAGACCTGGATTTGCCGATTGCTTTAAGGAAGGGAAAACGAACTTGTACTCAGTATCCATTGTCTCACCTTATATCATATGACAAACTCTCAAGTCAGTACAGAAGTTTTATGGTTAACCTTACTCAGGTAAATATTCTAAAAACATATATGGAGGCAATACAATATGAAGAATGGAGGCAAGCAATGAATCTTGAAATGCAGGCTTTAGAAAAAAATAAAACATGGGAGTTGGTTACTATGCCTAAAGATATGAAAGCTGTAGGATGTCGATGGATATATACTGTAAAGTATAAAGCAGATGGAACACTTGAGAGGTACAAAGCACGGTTGGTTGCTAAGGGATATACTCAAACATATGGATTCGATTACCTTGAAACCTTTGCGCTTGTTGCCAAGATGAACACAGTACGAATACTTCTATCTCTTGCTATAAATCATGGATGAGACATGTTACAATATGATGTAAAAAATGCTTTTCTACATGGTGATCTTGAAAAAGAAATTTATATGGAGATCCCACCTGGGTATCAGCAAGCAGGAAATAAAGTTTGTAAATTAAAAAAGGCGTTGTATGGATTAAAGTAATCTCCTAGGGCATGGTTTGAGATTTTATCAAGTTATGAGGAAGATGGACTATAAACAAAGTCAAGGAGATCATACATTGTTTATAAAACATTCTAATGCATGGGGAGTGAGCATTGATTGTTTATGTCGACAATATTATTGTCACTGGTAATGATAATAACGAACAAGATAAATTGAGAAATTGTTTAATCCAAGAGTTTGAAGTTAAAGAACTAGGAAAGCTAAAATATTTTCTTGGGATAGAAGTTGCCTATTCTAAACAAGGCATATTCCTATCACAACAGAAATATGTGATTGACTTACTTTCTAAAACAAGAAAGCTTTGCAGCAGACCAATAGGAATTCCGATTGATAAAAACCATAGATTATGTACATCTGAAGAGAGTCCTCCAGTAAATAAGGAAACTTACCAGAGGTTAGTTGGAAAATTAATATATCTTTCTCAAACGAGACCAGATATTGCGTATGTTGTAGGAGTGGTAAGTCAATTTATGCATAGTCCAAAAGAAGTTCATCTTCAAGCTGTGTACCGAATACTCCACTATTTGAAGAACTCCATTGGGAGAGGATTGTTGTTTAAGAAAGGCGAGAAACTCAATCTAGA